ATCAACGCGGCCCCGCGCCCCCCCCCCCCCCCCCATTAGCGACCATGTTTTAAATAATGGATATACATATACTTGCATATATATAAAAGCTTTATTCGCCATATAACTCAATGCTTCTTATAATAAAAATGTAAAATTAAAGAAAAAAACAGTGTTAAAAATGAAAAATACAGAATGAATAGCAAGAAAGAAGACGAAAAATAAGGACGCCTGCCAGAAAACTAAAAAATAGTGATTTTATACTATCTATATTACATGCTAGTACAATGAAGCTGAAGAATATACTTGAGTTCCACATTTCAGCCTCAAATGGCTCCGCTAAATAGCTTTTCTTTTTACTTTCTTTGATTTTAGATGATTGATATCATTTAGAAAAATAAATGATGTGCTTCGTTCAGAAATCAAACTCATTATACGATTATTGGTTAACCGGATCAGCGCTCTAACCATTGAGGTATCGAAACATGGCCAATATATCATTCATTTTTCTGAATGATATCCAGTCATCGAAAATCAAAGAAAGTAAACAGAAAACGGTATTGTACAGGCCCATATACTCTTTTCTATTGCTTATAACGATATTTACTTCAGGATTTCGAGTCATTAGTAACGGAGGAAACGACTTTGCTATCATAAAAACTGAAAAATTGAATAAAATGAAGCTATGTCTGCTACACTGTAAAAAAAAGCGTAGACCAATAAACGCTTGCCCTATCTATAAGTATTCATAAACCCTTAAAGGGTTTATGAACCCAAGGATTTATGATACGAAGGGTATATGAAAAAAAGGGGTATTTTGTTTAAATATTCAAGGGTGAGCGTCTATGATTGTTCGCAAAAGGGTACTTTATTCTACGGTTTCAATCAAAGGGTTTATATTATTGTTCATGAACCCAGGTCAAACATTCCCGTCACTGGATCCCGTAGGATACTTCAGAAAATATGCGGCAAAGTCATCATATCCTGCAGGAAAACACAGGAAATCGCTGGAACATGGAAGCAGTATTCCGGTCAAAAATACGGCCGGTTTTTCCGGCGGATTCCTACCAAGTTCCGGTGCTTACCGGCAGGAATTGATCGGAAATCGCCGAAAAATTTCCTACCGGAATACTGCTTCCACAAAATCAACTGAAGTACCCGAAACCGACCGTTTCTAGGCCGGACTGTTCGACCTGGTGACAGGGTATTTTAGACAGACTTTCACAGCAAGGACAGTTTTACGATATTGCAAGGTGCACTGTAAATAAAAAGAGTAGGATAATAAACCGTTGTCCTTCCTACAAATAATGCTAAACCCTTGAAGGGTTTATGAAAAAAACATGATACAAGAAAAAAAAGGATCTATTAATCTGAGATTTAGGTAGAAGGGTATATGATTTTATCTCCAAGGGTACTTTGATACGTGGTTTCGAGAAAAGGGTATTTTATTCTACGGTGAAGGATTTATTGTTCTACTCCATCATCAAAAGGAGTTTTATTCTTCGTTCAAAGGATTACACTTTTTCAACTGATATATATATATATATATATCATGAAAATTTCTCACAGGGCACTTCAAACAATTTAATATAATAAACATATTAATCCAATAATTTTCTCACAATGCAGCCATTCATGCATCGATGCACTTTCCATTTCGTATCTGTTTCGTAAAACATAACGGTATGATATAGAGGCGCTAATTTCGCTAATAAATTTTGAATCATTTTGAGCCAAACTTCGATCCGCACATTGTTTAAAAATCAAAATCAGATAACTTCATGTGAGCAACTTCATACAAAAATTTTGAGTTAAGTCAATCTGAAAGTTATTACGGTGATTGAGGATTTATTCCAAACTCGCTGTGGTATTTAGAAAAAAAGTTTGTTTTTACATCCATCCAAAAGAACAAATTAAATTAGGCATTTTTGCTTCAATATATTTATATTCTTCCTTTACTTGGTTGAAAATAAACTCAACATAATGCAAGTAATAACATTTCAAAAATAATTTCAGGTTGTCTTTAATTTAGGTCAGTCGCCACAGCTATTGGAAAATAGGGGTGATTCACTTATATATTTATATCTTTTCTTTACGTCCACTAAAAATGCAAAATGAAAACGGAAGTATTAAAACTTTCTCTCTGATTATTTTTTTTTCCGGTCCATTGATACAATGTATTCAAAGTGA